TATGTGCACATCTATAGAATTCCCTTGGGAAGCACCCCTCTACTTATCAGGGGAATGGCTACAGGTGGAGGGGACAGGAGGCAAGAGCCACACATCCAACTCTTTTCCAGATGCCCTGGGAGTCCTTCCCCATCCATGCAGGCTCCAGGATGCTCCCAGGGTTGGTAACCTACTGCACATAACCAGGACAGTGGGGTCTGCATGAGCCAGCAGCCAACACCACAGAGCAGGCTAAGACCATGGACATCACTACCCCAAACAACCTGGGACCCTTCCAACCTCCTGGGTAGGTGCTACCTGCGCCTCCAAGACAGAAGATGCTTGTTTGGTACCTCCTCCCATCAGAGCCATCTCACACCCAGCGCCTGCACGCAGCAGCGATGCTTCAGGCTCAACTTCCTTGCAGAAGGAAGGCTAAATACCACGGCAGAGGGGAGAGGCAGGGAACCGAGGCAAACCCAGCGCCTCGCAGCCGCCCTGGCCCCACTCTGCTGCTGTTTCAGCAAGAATAAAAAGTCTGTTGACATACGAAAGCCACAGAAAATCTCCCTGAAACTACAAAACAGCCCTGAAAACATTGTGCAGCTCCGGCCTCCTGCCCAATGTACACACATCCATTGAGCCCCTTCGAAAACAGCTACACGTCTAAGGAAACATCTGATAATTAAGGCAATTTGAACAATAGATAATAATTTGCCTGCGAATTGTACGGAATGTAATGACTGCTTATTCTGGCAGAAAAAACAGAACTTTCTGTGAAGTGTGTGCCAAGGAAAGCGATCCTCCCACTCAGCCCGGGCCACTGCCGGCAGTCGCTGCTAACCACACGCTTTCACGCTGCCGGCTGCCAGGACACGGCGCTGCTGCAGCCCAACCGAACCCCGCGCTGCAGAGCTACGGAGGGAGAAAGCGGAGTCCCAGGCGAGCACCGGCACCCGGTGCAGCCTCGCCAGTGGCCCGCGGGCACCCTGCACGCTGCCAGCTCCCCCTCCCGCTGTTTCCAGTTGCTAAATGACATTAGAAGCAGCTAAAAATACCCCAAGCGATTCTCTCGTTTATTTTTCCATGGCCAGCACTTGGCGCTCGCCGCGGGGATGTTCTGCAACGGGCACTTCTCCGCCCATGGGGGAGCAGGGGATCGCTGCGTTAACACCAAGGACCACTGCCTTCACTGGGTGAGTCAGTGCAAACAGCTACAGCTGGTGGCAAGGTAGCTCCACGCCTTCAAAGGGATGGGGAGGAGGACAAGGAGCTACCTGGTACTTCTCATGCCCCAAGGAACCCAGGAGCTGTCTCGTGCAAACCCACTGCAACAGGCTCCGCAGTGCCAGGCAGCCTGGACAAGATCCAGAAATGGTTTCCCAGTTGGAAGAGAAGCACGTAAAAAACTACGAAAGTCTTTGCTGAACTCACTCCATAAAACAGCAGCGCCAGCAAAGCGCCCTTCCCAACCAGCCAAGGCAGCACATCCAGGTGATGCTCCAGCACCCGGTTCACAACCACAACAAGCAGCAGCAGGACATGGGGGCACCCCACCACCGTGGGCAAAATCCCATGAGTGCAAACATAAGGAACCAAGTGACTCTCTCTGGCACGGTGCAAGAACTGCTCTCATTGCTCCCCGCAGATAAATGCAATTATTCCATTAATCCTGTTCAAACTGAGACACAGATTACACTGAGCATCCTCACCAAGACTGAGCAAGGAATGGTGCTTGTGCCCAGCTCCCTGTACGGAGCTCCAGGCTCATTCTGTACTCCCCAGAGGTCATCTTGCCTCCATGAACTCAGGACAGCAGTGCCAGCCAGAGAAGGCATTACACCTCTGCAGGGAACTCATGGGTTAACTGATAACGCTTTCCACCAGTTTCTTTACAATCCAGGAAAAGAAACATCTATTCCTTCCAATTAGCAGGAAAAGGGAAGGAATTTCCATCCGTTTAACACCTGAGGGCATGAAGGAGCCTCCTGAAAGAAACTTGTTTTTAAATCACTGCCACCTACTGTGGGTCTCCGGATGCCACTGACACCAGCTCGCTTTGCATTTCATTCTGCAGCCACACCAGGGCAACCAGGGTAAGGTCATCCCAGGGAGCTTTGCTCCATCACCACCACAGCCTGGGCACACATGGGTTCAATAAGGAGCAATACTCTTCAGGCAGTGCTTGAACAAAGTGAGCAGTTACAGGCATTAGGACCTGGACCTTCCAAGATGTGCTCTCCTCAGGGAACTTAAAAGTTTAAATGACTTAAAGTCATCTTCAAAGCAGCTGCAGGCTGGTGCTCTCCCCATACCAGCCACTCTCTGGTACATCATCAAGAGTCAGGTCTCACAAACCAACCATCTACAGCAGCTCTACACAAGCACTGACGTCTCCAGCAGCAGCACCAAGACTGCATCTCACCCCTGCCCTGAGCTTTGCAACGTATCCATCACACAGCTAGCTATAGGTGCAGGAGGTAAAGTTCACCTGGACACAAGGCGGTACCAAAGGGGCATGACTTCTGAAATGCTTCCATGCAGACTTACAGGATCAGTCTCCTGACACCTCTAACACCAAGTTAACAGAAAAGGAAACAATCTGTGTATGGTCCACACTACAAACAGCACATTTTACACCTCTTAGCAAGCCAGCAATGAGCTGACCAGCCACACGCTTCTCTCCAAAATGCTTATGTGCTTCAGCAAGATACAACCTGTCATTTATGCATATTCTAATTAGGTCTTAAACCTGGCCTAAACAAATATTAAACTGAACTGCTGGGTTATTATCAACACTAAACAGCCTCTTCATGTGACTGATAAAGCAATGATACAGATGAAAAGACTGCTGGAACAGCCATTTCCTTGAAGGAAAAGACTTGTATCTACTGCTCTAGAACGTCAAACTGTCCCAAAAAATCCCATGTGAGATGTTGCTAAACCCCAAATAGCTCCTATGCCCACCTGGTGGGGATGTTTCACTTGTGTCCCACAGCCCAGGGTGGGGGACATCTGCCCATGCCACCCAACTGCTTCATTGTGACAGTTCCAGGCCAATGTTTGGTAGGATCAGTGATCCCCAACCGGACGGAAGTCACTATGCTGACAGTGCCACAGCTTTTAGGACACTGCTTTGGAAAGGTGGTAGGAAGCTTCTGTCTGCACCCTGGGATCTAAAGCAATTCTATGAGAGAAAGGTAGAACAGAGTACCATACAAACCAAAACAAAACCCTAAAGAGCTTGATGGACTTCAGACTTGAGTTCATACCGGTAACAGCCATGTTTCCATGCATCATCCCATCAGCATCACAGCCTGTTGAATTCGCTCAAACTTCTCCAGCATGGTTTAGTGAGCAGAGGGATGCTACCAAGCAGAAATCACCCGTTTCCACCATCACAGCCAACTCATCCAAGCACAGCCAGCTCCTTCCCTCACACACATTTATCTTGTTCTCACCTATTAGCCAGCCTCCCAGGTAACTGCCCTTCCAATCCATTTACCCACCCTAATGAAAACACACCATCACCTGCGACAACAGCCCAGCACCCTGCTCGAGGTTTGAGTGCCACCACACCACACTTTACAGCCCTACAAGCACAAGTCCTCTCAAGACTTCCACCGTCCCGCCCGGCACACCCTGGGGAGCAGGATGATGTTTAAAACCCAACTTTGCAAGACCTGTTGCTCTCCAAGCAAGGCCAGACACAGCCTCCCGGTGCCCCTGGGAAGGTAACACAACCCTGCTGGTATTCCCAGCGTGTCTCTGCAGAAAGCCCTTCTTTTGTCCCATAATCTCACCTTGCTCATCACATTTCTCTGACCTTGTTCCAAAAGCACAAACTGACCGCAGCTGCAGAGCTTCAAATGGAAGCCCTGGCAGCACAGTCTGCTCCTGACTCCCTCCAAAGTTCACCGAGTCATCTTAAACAACATATAAAATAAGGACTAGGTCAAACCTTCCCAACACCGGCCACTGTGCAGGAGCCTGCTCGGGTCCTGATCCTCCACTGATGAGGGCTGGACTCCAATCAAATCCCAGCCTATTTATTAGAGACCATTTTAAAAGCAGGGAGGGTGAAGTGGGGAGCGAGTATGTTAACTGCAGCCAGTCAGACGGTTCTCATTAAAATATTTCTTGGAGAAGCAAACGGGCCTGCAATTTTATTCAAACAGATGTAGGCTAAACGCATATCATTAGGCTGACAATGTAAAAGCGCAACCGCCTGAAATCATTGCAGTTTTGTCAGTCTAAACGATAATGTATGCATATCTGGAGGGCACACCAATGCTAAAGATTACCCCCAGCTCCTCTCTTAGCCGTCTAAAGGTATTTACTCGGGGTCTGTCTGTGTTGTGACAGTGTCCTAGACCGAAATGAATGCCTCTAACACTCCACATTTTTGAGCCATTCAGTCATGCATTTTTGTTATTGTTGAAAGTAGTGCGAAATTGCAGTGCATGAGCCGGAGTCCTTGGTGGTCTCCGAGGATTCCAGCTAAAAAGGCACTTCCTTTGTTCCGCGGAGAATGCGGTCCAGTAGGTCATTCAGAAGGGGAAATAAAAGCAGCGGCCCTGGGAGGGAGATGAAGGATGGAACAAAAAAGAATAAACTGTTTTGGGTGGGAGCACATTAGCTTCCATTTCCTACCGCGGCCGGCTGCGAGCACCGCCGTCCCCGCGATGCGCCGCTACCTCGGGTCGGAAGCGGAGGGAAGAAAGGGAAAGAAGCGAAGGAAGAAAGAAACCGCTCCCGGTCCCCCCGCCTGCCGAGCCGCCGGGACGGGGCCCCCGGGAAGCGGCAGCGCCGCGTAAAGCCCCGGCCGAGCGGCGGGGAGCGGAGCCGCAACAGGCACCGGGCAGGCGGGGCGGGACAAGCGCCGAGCTCCGCTGGACTGGGGGAACCGAACGGAACCGGGGGGGGGGGCCCCGGGCGGGGGGGGGAGCCGGGCGCGCACCCCGCGGGGGCCGCGTCCGGGCCGATCGCGCACAAAGGCGGCGGAGACGATCGCGACTCACCGCTGATCTCGTGGCTGGGCGCTTCGCTCTGGCTGAAGCCCTTGGCCGCGTACAGCCTCCGCACTTCGGAGCAACTTCTGGCGCGGGGCTCCGCGGCCAGCAGCAGCGGCAGGCTCAGCGCGGCTAAAGTGCAGAGCAGGGGCGGCAGGCAGCACCCGCGCCGCCGCGGCATGGTGCGGCCGGGCGAGAGCGCCCCGAGGCCGAGCCTGCCCCACCGCGCCGCGCTGGAGCCGCGCCCGCTGCCCCGCTCCGCTGACGGCTCCGCTCCGCTTGCCCGGCGTGCGGCGGCGCTCTGCAAACTTGGCCCGGCAGAAAGCACATGGGGTGGTGGAGGAGGAGGGAGGGAGGGAGGAGGAGAGGGAGGAGGGAGGCGGGGAGGGCGGCAGCCAAGCAGGATCGCGCAGGGCCGGGACAAGCCTCTACAGCCCCCGGGAAAAGCAGGAGCTGGGATCCGCCCGCCCAGCGAGGCGGAGCGGAGCCTGGGGCTGCCCGCACCGCCCCGAGCGGGCGCCACATCGGTGGGTTCCCCCCCTCCGCCTGCCCGCCCCGCACAGCCCGGTCCCAGAGGGGCACCCAGCCCCTCGCATCCCGCATCTCGGAGCCCGGTCTGAGCGTGTCCCGGCGCGGGAGATCCCGGTCTCGCACATCCCCAGCAAACGGAAAGAGGCTGGCTCTTGTTCCCTCACTGGGGCTGTAGACGGTTCAGCTCTGCCCCTGGTTTAACAGACGCACTCAGGTGATGGGTTTTGACATCACTGTGACACGTCTGAGCCGTGTGTTGTTCCTTCGCACTGGTCTTCTGTTCCCAAGAGGCTGGCAGGACAGAAGCCTCGGGAACACAGACACCAAGGTGCTCCAGCGGTTCTTCCTCCTTTGTACCCTGGCCCTGCACACGGACACATGCGTAGATGTAAACAAGCCCTGCTAAACCCTTGAACCAGGGATTGAAGTTCAACAATTGCTGCTTCTGTTTACTGACAATCACTGAAATAGCACTGCAAGAATGACTGGCACTGCCGTCATTTCACTGTAACCGCTGAGTCCCAGAATCAACTGGCTTGGAAAAGACTTTTAAGATCATCAAATCCAACTGTTCACCAGCACTGCCAAGGCCACCACTAACCCATGGCACCGAGGGCCTCGTCTACACGGTGTGTGAACACTTCAAGGAGCAGTATAATGTCACTTCAAGGCTTTGCTTACGGAGGCCTTGCGCCCTGCCTGGCATGCTCTCAGTGCCTGTGCCCCATGGGTGCAGATGCTGCGCAGGCATCTCTGTCCTGCTGCAGTGCCTGTGTGTCCACAGCGTCATTTGCCCCATGGCGGTGTAATGGCCTGGTGGCAGCATCATTTAAAACCAGCAGTTTACATTTCAATATGCTCTTCATTATTTCTCTCATTGCCACGTCGGTGAAGGACAGAGTGAAACAACAGCAAAGCTGCCAGCTTCACCCCCTTGCTCTCAAGCTTTTGTCAGCAGAATGCCATGTGTATGTGTCAGGAAGAAAAGACCATTCCTATTCCATTCATTTCCCAGCAAAGCATGCCAACAGCAAAGCTCAGCCACGCTGCCCTGTCAGGCCCTTCACATAGGAACACGATGCTGGTGCAGCTCCAGGCTTCCCAAAAGCGGGAGAAGGTCACATTAACCCAGCCAGGCCTGGTCCAGCTGCGATGGAGAGGGGGCTGCTGTGGGAGGGATGCATCCCCTGCCTGCATGGGAAACGGGCTCACGCCATCCCCAAGGGCAGAGCTGGAGTTGGCTTTAACTTTAAAAAGCTTCCAGAGCCAACTGCAGCCATGCCGATGGGAAGGGGTGTAGGGATCGCAGCCACCCTGCCCTCCGCTGGGGCCGCTCACACCGGGCTGGTGAGACGAGCCAGGCCAGAAGTTCTCATGAAGTTATAAAGTGTCCTGAGAGAGAATAATCCTCTAGGATCTGGCCCTGCAGTGTATGACTGAGTTCTGGTTTTCAAAGCGCTACCTCACCCTCCCCGCCTTTATTTGAAGAGACAATGTGAATTTTAAAGAGAACTCAGCAGGGAGCACTGCATTTCTTATTCCAAAGCGAGAGAGAAAACGAGAGTGAGAAAGTCTGCGGGGTTAGAGGCAGCTCGCCATTTGTTGTTCCCCATAATCCCATACCTCGGCGGGATTTAAGGAACCTCCTGAAAAACACGGAGGGTTTTGTCCAGTGCTTGATCAAGTCGCTCAATCAAAGGCTGCAGCGAGACAATGGCTCTGCCTGAAATTTTTCATGAGAAAACTCCTTTTTCTTTCCCTTTCAAGGAGCAGCAAAGTCGCCCCGCTCAGAAGAAGAGATTTGCTTCTCTTCTGCAGCATTTGTGCACATCTGGCAGGAGCTCCCCAGCCCCCTCGCCCCAAACCACTCGAGCGATTCCCCTTCCCCGTTCCTCTCCCTTTCCCAGGAGGAAAGCAGAGGGAAAAAACCTTGAGATCAGTCTTAAAAGGATGCTGAGGGTTGGGTTTTTTTCATGGTGAAAACTTCTGACACACAACCCCCCCACCAACCCCCCCACCGGAGCTCTCCTCTCCCCATCAGTAGTTCTGCCCCCACACTCAGGGTTTCTTCTCCAGCCATGGATGCATGGGATGCTCCCATGTCCCCATCTCCCCTACCTGGCAGGGAGCCGAGCTCACGCTTCCTGCAGGCCTTTTGGCTCACAAAGTCATTTGCGAGTCTCCTCTGTCCTTTTGGGGGGACCTCCAATGTGTCCCTGTCACCAGTGTGGGCACCCCTGGGTTGGGCAGAGCCGCTGCTGGCCCCGGCACAGGGGATGGGGGCAAGGTGATGTGACCCCCATAGCGCCAGCACGGAGCCTCCTCCTGCAGATGCCGTGGCATCTTGGCATTTCGAGTTTCCGGCTTCTCATTCAGTGGAAAAACTGCAGCTCTGCCAGCTTTTGGGAGAGAGGGAAGGGTAGGGAAGGAGAAAGCAGAGGAGACTCGGCTCCTCCGTGCTTCCTCTTCACCTTCCCTCTCTGTGCCACCTCTCCTCTCCGGCACAGACCTCTTGCCACGCTGCTCCTGCCAGAGCCTTTGTCCACACACAAAGTTGTGTCAGTTTAATTAAAACCACTTTAATCCGCTCTAGAGGAAATGGGACAAACCCAATGTGTCCCCGTTGGTGATGCACCAGCTTCCACTCCAAATCACGACAAGCCATTCCCACCTGCGTGCCGTGAGCTGGGTGGGTTTCAACTCCAATTGGTGAAGCGGGGCAGTCCCTTGGCAGCAGAGGGGAGCCCCAAGCCCAGCAGAGGCACTGATTACATCTGAAAATCCTGCTGGAACCCTACCAGGGCTTAAACTTTGGTTCTGATTTAATTCTGGCCCTGGCCACGGGTCTGCCACAGCCCTGCGGCATTCCCAGCCGTCTGTCAGGGAACTTACGGTGGGGGGGAGTTGTACTTGGATAACAATTCCCTTTAGGAAAACCTGGCTGAATGCGGTCCTTGGGCTGGCTATCATTAAGGGTGATTAAATCCTCCACTCTGGCAGGAGAGCCTGGGCCACAAGGAGGTTAGAAAGTGCTGAAAGGGAGCTGGACGGGCGTCTTCCCAGCTCCAGCTCATCAGCAGGAGACGGCTCATTGTAAACCCCAGCCAGGCGCGTTCCCCATCCTGCGGCAGCGCGGTCGGGCTGGAACCAGGGAGGCTCCAGTGGAAACAGGCTCCTTTGATAAAACCCCAGATCCCACAGATCGGGGGTGTGTTTAATGCACGACATCTGGCACGAGGATGGGGGATCTGCAAAATGAGGCTGTGACTCTGGGTTTTAAATGTCAATGGCCTGATATTTTAGGGTGAGCAGAGCCGATGTTTCAGCATTGGCTGACGGCTCCACTTATTTTTACCACTTATTTTTACCCTGGGGCCCATTAACCCCATCCACTGAACAGAACCCCCCGGCGCTGCTCGGCTGGTTCATTAACTGGGGTTAGCTTCTTGCTGTCTTCTGCAGTGCTGTGCCCACTGAAGCAAGGTGGGAAGATGCTGAGAGGACAAGGTGATGTGCAACAAGGGTGTCACGCAGCTTCCCATGTCCAAACCGGCTTGCAGTGCACGGGGCTTGCTGTGCAGAGCTTGATACCATCTCCATTTTAGGGAACGCAAGCGCTTGCCTCTCCCGCAGCAGGACAAGATGCGGTCCCAGCTCTGTCCCCAGACACCGCAGGGAGGAGACGTGGGGACACAGAGCTTCGGAGGGCACAGGAATGCACTCATGTTCACAGGCTCTTGTGCCTGCTCTTCCCGGCTCTGCAGAAGGGACCCTGTGGCAGGCAGATGGCTCTGACGTGCAGCGCACTCGCGCCCAGCGGGTAAATATATTCCCCAGCAGATTCCCAGCAAGTGAACATCAGCCTCCGTTGCTCCAGAGCTGGCCACGGCTTTCTCTTCACTCCCTCATTGTGGCTGTGCAGAGAAGGTCCCTGGGCTGCCTCTCCCCAGTGGCTCCCTGGACCAGCACTGGCATCCTGGACCCACACCAGATCACCCGCATCCCTTCGCACAGCCCAGCATCCCCGGGGATGTGTCACCATCTTCCCTACCCCAGGTGGCCATGCACCTGGATGTCAGCAAGGAAGCTGGACGACAGGATGGGACCCAGGCCTTTGTTGGTCTGAATTACAGCCACGGCGCTTAATCCTCCATCCATAGAACCCCAGACTGGTTTGTGTTGGGAGGAACCTTAAAGCTCATCCAGTTCCAGCACCCTGCCGTGGACAGGGACACCTCACACTTGTCCATATTGTCCAAGGCTCTGTCCAACCTTCCCTTGAACACTGCCAGGGATGGAGCATTCCCCACTTCTTTGGGCAAAGTCCCACTTGGAGCCAGTGTTTCCCCTTCTCTCAACCCGTTTTGCCTCCCATGTCCTGGTTGGTGCTCAAGGGATGAGCCAGTTCTGCTCCCCTCCACTAATGGAGCCCTCAAGGGCTGATGTGCATCCCTGCTGGAGCGAGGCAGATGTCTGCGCATAAAGCGCTCGCTGGACCAGTGCCCGGGTAGAAACGCTTTGAGGGCATTGAGAGGCCCTGGATGAAGCAGTGGCTGCAGCAGTGAGGGTGCTGGAGCTGCCCCTAGCAACCTCACACTGATCTTTACCAGAAGCCAGCTTTGACCTCTCTGCTGACCATCACGGTGTGGCTCCATCCCTGGACAAGCAGAG